AACAACAACAACAACAACAACAACAACAACAACAACAACAACAACAACAAAGACCTAGTCAATCTAGCAGTCATCACTAATAGTCTTACGTCTACAAGTTCTCTCGTTGAATCAGGAACCAGGCTGTAATATTACGATAGCCCTAACGGATTACGATGCCCTTCCGAGATAATAATATGATGACGGTTCTGTTTGGTGCTATCTTTCTTTCTTACATAACATATACAGATAGCGACGGGAACGACTCGTTCACGGGAGCAGGGAGGCATGTCGTGGGGGTCTGTAAGTGACTGCTGTTAAGTCTGTGAGACTCCGAGAACCGTGACCTATCCGTGTGTGAAAATCCTGGACTGGATTAATTCATTACCAACCGTAGCGTGGACGGAGTGTCCGAGTGTGGCAGGCTGTTCTTCTGTAGGAGACACCACTAGAGGGCGTTGGTAGACGAGTTGTGTGGCTTTTGCAACGAGGAGTATTAATTTGTTGTACAGTGGACACTGTTCAAAACGGCCGTTCAAGATCGACGAGAGATTGAAGTGGTTGTCTTAGACAAGTATGCTTCTTGGGAAGCTGAGAATGTTTCGGAGTGTTCTGTGGTCTGCCGGGGTAATAATAATAATATGGTCGATTTTAAGAACAAGCACTCTAACCCAGATTTCGGATGTTTTCAGAAATCTTGACCTACACCAAAAGTGGGCATTTCCCTAACAACAGGAGAAGTTTGGTTTTATAGGCGTGTATATTCGTTTGGCGTTAGAGAAAATTCTCCTTGTCTTTTTTAAAGAAACTGAACAAGAGACAAAAACTTTACCTTCGATTTTCTCAAAACATCTTTTTTTTCGGGATAGTCCCTTATGTTTATAAGCGACCATATCGTGTAAAGCGCTTAGGCTTGCTCTTGAGCGAGGGTATGTGCTATACAAATGCTATCTATTATTTTTATTATTATTGTCTTAGACAGGTGGTCTTCGTGGATGGTGACATTTTAATGTTAAAAAATAACCGGGAAGGAGGAGGTGGAGAGTGATTGTTTGCACGGGAGGCGATTGTCTTGGAAAGTTCGTTTTTAGAGCAGGTGCGACTGCGCCCAAAGATAGCGTGAATTAAAAACCTCGACAAGACGTCTGTGAGTCAAGCAATAGGCAGCACCCTAGTTAAAACAGACGCCGCTGTGTGACCTTTTCACCCTGGTTGAAAAGTTGACATGATTGTGTGTGGTTGGTCAAAGCGTCTGGGAATGTTTCCGTGACAAAAGTCTCCGAGTTCTTGCATTGTCTGCGCCAAGGAATCAACGTCACCATGGATATGTCGAGCCAACCCGTCGTTGAGATATGTAAGTACTACGATCAACTGTGACTCCAGAGTGGTGAGTTTGTGGATATTACAGTACAAAGTAATGCCAATTTTAACAAGCCTGTCACAGTGTAACATTTCGAGACTTTATCCTAGACATAAATGACATCGTATCCATACGACGTGGGAAACTCCGTGCCACCACTTTCCAAATAGGAAATTTACTTGTTAATCCGATCCGTAGGCTTTGCATAGCAGTCTGTCAAAATGATTTTTTGAGAAATACTGAAAGTTTCAAAGAGATCTTCGCACTTGAAGCTTTCTAAATTAATGTGAAGCATACAACTCCTGGAGTCAAAAGGACCACGGACGTACGGATACGGTTAAGAAAATGAAGAAAGCTGACAGAATGATACTTTCTTTTTAGACAAAATAAATGCTTAGAATCCGACAGAGCATCACGCCCCCCGCCCGCCTCTTATATGTTTGAAAGTTGTTTGTGTTGGTATTTATTTGATTATATATTTTTTTGCCTTTTGGAAACGAAAGAGGTGCTAAGTAGTGCAAGAATATGTTTTCAGATTGTTATCTTTCTACAACGGCAAAAGAAAAAAAAAAGAGAGCGAACCAAACGGCTTGCTATATTTTTAAGAACGAATAAATGTGAGGCAACGTGGTGGAAACAGGCTGTCGTCACTTTTCGGACTTGTAGAGTTATTGTTATCATCTTAAAACTTGTTCACATGTCTTTGTTTGGATGAAAAAAAATATCCATTTATCTTGAATACAAGTCGAGATACTTGTGAATGAAGGAGGTGGGGGTCACCTGTTTTCAGAGGTAAAATTAGTGTGAAAATGGCCGCCAAAGATTAGTTATTTCTTTAGCTTAGGAGTCGGTGGTAACAGAAAATTTACATTTTTTGGTGCTTTTAATCAACATTTTTCAGAAAAATCTACACAGAAGTTAGAACTTAAAGGGGCATGAAAGGTGTTAAGCCAAAAAGCAAAAGTTTGATAAAAATTCACAAGCCGGAGGAAAAATGCAAGTTTCTTCACTTTGATAATTTTGACGAGAGCCTGATTCCACCACGCTGCCTCACAAATAGTTATTACATGAAGTCGCGTCTCTGTTTTAGACTTCCCTTTTTGTGTAAGCGCCGTAAAACCTTACTAAAACAAAAGAGAGAACATTGTGACCTTTTTCCGTCCCCAGCTCCTCTGTTCTGCTCTCAACGACTCACCCTGGCTATGATGGTGTTTTTGGGCAACTGTGTGTCGTACTTCGCGCGGGTCAACATGTCCGTGGCCATCTTGTGTATGGTACGCAGTGACGTCACTGTGCTGAACGGCTCTCTCAGCAACGTGACAAATGTGGCGTCACACACAGTGGACAGTTGTGGGGGGCCTGACCAGGCGCTGACGGCTGACCTTCTACGGGATGACGTAAGTCGCTGTCTACGGGACACTGGGTGGGCAGATTTTGTTTCGCTAGGGTTTTCATCAGAATCTCATTTGTCAGAACGATAAGCCTATTTTGTTGCCTTTGGTAAAGGAAATCTAGAGCTGTGTGTTCGTTGTTGAGATTGTAAACTGTTAGATGTCGTTACACATTAGATGAAAGAAGACTAGATAACGTGGGTTCACGTGGTATGATCTTGAGATGTGATATCTTAAGGCAAGTGGGACAAGGGTACGGCAGATGATGGAATGTTAGATGAGCAAAGATATGGAGAGGTGTGACTTACTTTACTTTTACTCTTTACTTTTCATCCTCTGTTGCCGTTAAGCGTCGAGGGGAGATGCAGTTTTCTATGGTAGGCCAGCTCCGCAACTCTTTCAGTTGTGATAATATTTTGTTTTCTCAGGGTTTCAATGACACCCTCGATCCACCTTTTGCGTGGCCTTCCTCTTCCTTTATAGCCTGAATGCTTGGTGTTGTAGGCTCTCGAGGCTGGCTGGCCAGATGACATACGCAACAGTTGGCCAAACCTTTTTATTCTCTGTCTTTCTATGTAATGCAGGTAAGGCTCAGTGCCGATAGCTGTTCTTACTTCTTCATTTTTCTACCTGTCTCGTCTTGTGATGTTAAGGGTTTTGCGGAGACATTTCATTTCGCATGCGGTGATTTTGCTTTCATGCGTTTTACTTAATGTCCAGGTGTGGCAGTGGTAGCATTATGCTGGTATGAATATTGAAGTGATAAGGGGATAGCTGGGTCTGAGTGAAGTACGGTGCGACTTTATGTCACTGAGGCGTCACGCTAGACGTGAAGGCCGACCCGGGTCACCCCGAAACGTTGCTGGCTAAAGGTGCTCTGGTGAAACCTTGACTGGCCTAGCAAGCCGACGGCGGATAAGTCATGCTACAAAAAGAACAAAGGAGAATACCCACACGCACTGATTCCAATGGAAAAAGACCAGGAAAAGTAAAAGAGATGTGACGGCGTTGGGAAAATGACGTGGTTGTAAGAATAGGTGGTTTTGTTTGTTTGAGTTAAGAGAAGCATAGCGACACGATAAGGGTCATATTAAAAAACAATATTGTAAAACGCCAATTGGCTTTGATATTTGAATAATGGCGGCTGTATCAGTGTACCCCTAGATATTGATTTGGGTGGTCGTAAATGACACTGTAGATGATAATATTATGTTGATTTTGTTATGACCAAATTATGTTCCTGTTGGGGTAGACATTTTCTGTAAATTTTGCATCTCCCGCTGACCGACTTCCTCTGTCTCTACCACCGCTGTCCACAGACGGGCGAGTTCTCTTGGGATAAAGGGACACAGTCCAAGCTTCTTGCCATGTACTTTTACGGCTACATCTTCACGCAGGTTCCAGGCAAGTTCATTTCATTTGTTTGCTTTTTGCTTTTTCTTCCGTCAATTTTTCGCCCTGTCCAATATAATGCATGAATCAGCCTTTGGTGCAGTAAATGAAGAGCTTAATTGCAAAGGCAAAGATCAAGAGTCGAAATCGAGAAGAGTTGGAAATATATAAATAGTGTCGATCGTTCTGAAATATTAGATTAAAACCTAACCCTGCACACTACACTGACAAAAACAGTGCCATGGTTTTTTTATTGGCCCACATTGTGTATGGTAGGGATATACTTCAAACTCTCTAGGGCTTCGACCAAGTCTCCCTCTCCTTCTCTCTATCGCTCTCTCTCTCACTCTCTCCCCCCCCCTCTCTCTCTCTCTCTCTCTCTCTCTCTCTCGCTCTCGCTTGATAGATCTGCATATATTATGTTGGTGCTCTAAGAATACTTTAATGTCATTCTAGCTTTGCTCAAAACTTCATTCCTTTTCTACAAGCAAACGCGGCTCTACTCCCAGCCCCTGTTTCCTCTCAGTAACATTAATCATTTGTATTCTAATCTGGTATGGAGAAATATAGTCGTAGCCAAGGTGACTAACTGGAAACTACAACACCCGGTATCTCCCCCTCCCCTCCCCAGGAGGCTGGCTGGCGTCTCGTTTCGGCGGCCGTCGTGTGTGGGGAGTGTGCATGTTTGTGAGCGCTGTCTGCACACTGCTCACCCCTGTCGCTGTGAGGACTCACATTTACATCGCTTATGGCTTGAGGTTTCTTTTGGGGTTTGTTTCGGTAAGTGGCGTTTGTATGATGATAACATTAATTTGTAAAAATGGTTATGATGTAGTGAACAGAAGAACACTGATGATGATGATGATGATGATGATGATGATGATGATGATGATGATGATGATGAAAGGAGTTCTCCCCATACTTCCAAAGGCGAGAGCACTCACATGCGCTAAGAGGGATAAACCAGTAATCTCTTTCTACGTCTTGAGTTCCTATAAAGTTTGGATGATGGTTTTGACTGTATTGCAACATATAATAAGCCAACGACAGTCAACGAAACCTTCCACTTCACGTATCTTTGATTTTTTCTGAATGTGCAAGTTAGTCACTTTTTTAAGACTTTAAGCCACGCACCTTAAACTATACTACTTTTTAAAATTGAAAAAAGATATGATCTATTTATTTTTAAAAACATTTTTCTTATTTCTACCCAGGGTGTCAACTTCCCGTGTATTCAGGCTATATTTGGAAGATGGGTGCCGCCATTAGAGAGAAGTATAATGAACGCTATAGCTTCATCAGGTAAATATACATATGGCATCAGTCGGAGCTTTTGTTTGAACTCATGCACTGATTTTGTGCATTTTTAGATAGGCCTTTAGCAAGACAAGCGTGATTACAAACATAGTACTCACGTACTTGTACATGTACACACATATATAGACACTCATACACACGTGCATGCATATTTACATACATGCATACTTATACGCATACACACACACATACATACACACAAGCAGACGTATACGCACTCACACGTACATGCATACACACGTACCTACATGCAAACGTGCATACCTACCTACATGCATAGCCTACATACTTACCTACATACATAGCCTACATACCTATCTACATACATAGTACATATATACATACCTACCTACTTACCAAACTGGACGCTCCTGCCAACACATCAGATATGGCAAAGGCTCCAACCCGACTTTGTTATCAGTTTATCGTAACTTACACAAATCAAGATCCACTGACAGAAGCGTACTGTAGTAACATACTATAATTATTATTCTGCACTTACTTTCCACAGGTATGCTCTTGGGCAACATCTTCACGTTCTCTATATCCGGAGTTTTGTGTAAACATGGCTTTGACAATGGCTGGGGCTCCATATTTTACCTGTCAGGTAAGTGTATTTTTTATTGAGGAAATACAGGATTTATATTATTAACACTTTGCAACACACAGCCAGCAGTACAAAATACCCCATCTGGTCACCCAGCCAGGTGACCGGAACGGATAATTCTGACCGTCGTATTATTATGTCACGTGACGGCTAAGTGTTAAAGTAATCTGTTGAAGATAGATCTTTTAGATAACCCCACCCCTGTTGTTGGCACGTCGTGGTTACCTAAAGAAACATTTGAGGACTGTGTAAGTGAAATAACCAATGCCAACCTCAGCGCCGCTCCCGTCATAATGATTATAACAAAAGCAGTATCCGGTAGTGATCGGCCATTATAATATTTATTATTGCTTTCTTTAACTAGACTGAGAAAAGGTTCCGTGTATCAACCTTTGATTTAATGGACTTCCTGTCGCCAGGTATGATGTTCGATGTGTCAATCGTTGATTTGATAACTTCCTGTTGCTAGGTGTGATGTTCCATGTGTCAATCGTTGATCTGATGACTTCCTGTTGCCAGGTGTGATGTTCCTGCTGTGGGTGGTGGCCTGGTTTCCTGTGACGTCAGACACTCCTGCCCAACACAAGAGAGTCAGCGCCGGGGAGCGGAAGTATATTGAGGGGAGCATTGGGAGGAGCTCTGTAGCTAAGGTAATTGTGTGTGTGTGGGGGG